CCCCCGCACTCACTTCCTTTGTCTGTTGTGGTTTCCTTCCACTCTTCCTCTTTTCAACTTCCGGCTTCAAAGTTTCAGGCTGAGTTGGCAAGCGGAGCCCTCCAAAGCCCCAGCCTGGGCAGGCAGAAGGCCCCCCCCTCCCCAAGTAAATGGGATGGGAGAACGGGGGTGCAACGGGGGTGTACGGCCCCCCTAATTTTGCCCTTGCCTGCTTTCCCGCCCCACCTTGAGAAACCTCTGCCTGCCTCCCTTTCCTTGCCCCATCAAGAACGTTCGAGAGGAGAAGAGGAGAAACAGGCCGGGAAGTGGCCAGATTTTCTGCTGCTGTGTTGCTTTTCGAAAAACCGCATTGCTGACAAGGAGTCCTGAAGCGCTCGAGCATCTGATCCGTTTCAGCCTCTTTGGAAGCAGGTCAGATCTGATTGCTTTGGGGGACACACACACACAGACACACACACACAGACACACACACAATCAGGCCTGAGGGTTAAAATCAGGAGGGGAGGAAATGATGCCGTCCTGGAAATTCAACTCAAAGACCCCTCTGTCCTGGGGTTTCTCTTCCTTGGGCGCAGTTGTAAAGCAAACCCTGAAAACCCCACCTGAAGGGATAGGCATCCTCAGACTCAAACAGCCTTGGGTGGCTCCCGTGAGCGAGCCAAGCTGCACAATCAGGGTTTCAAAGTGAAGAGGGCACAACTATGTTCCTTGGTGGCGTTTTGGGGACTATAAACTAGCAAGGAGGGACCGCTAGCCCTGCTCAAAAACTTTGTTTCTTCTGTCCTTCCTGCCTCTAGTGACGTCAATCCCACCTATACCCCACCCCCCACAAGCAGAGACCCCGTCCAGACGACCTTCACAGGCACAACTGGCAGTCAGAAAGTGCCTGGCATCCCTGAGCCCTGGCATCCCTCCGGGGTCAACTTTGGACCTTCCCGGGACGGCTTTGAAAAGCTCTCCCACTTTCCAGGGAGGCGGGTGGATGCTCCGGGCCTGGAGGGAAACGCCACCTGGCTCGACCGCCTCCAGCCAGGAGGAGAAAGGCGCGGACACGGGTCTGATGCCCAGATGTGCTAACGGAGGCCTGAAACCAGACCTTCCTGGGAAGAGAGCGGCGGCAGAGGTGCGGGGACCCGGGTGGTGACGCCGCGCGCCAAATATGCGGACCGTCCAGTTTGCCCGTCTTGCGCCCGGCGGGAGCTTGGCCGGCTTCTGTCGGCTTCCTCGCTCGGGGGGGGGGGGGGGCGCCGAGTTTCGCTCGGGCGGGTCAGCTGACGGGGCGGGCTCGCCGCGGGAGGAAGTCTTGGTGGGACCCGAGCGGGGGACCTTCCCTCCCGCGGCTCTTCCACCGCCCTCGGGGTGCAAAGCCGGCAGGGGCGGCTCGGAGGCGCCAGCAGAACCGCGGGGCTCCGGTGAGTGAGCGCTGGGGGGGTGGGGGGGCCGGGCGGGCTTCTGGAGGGGATGGAGCCTCTTCCTTTCCTTGGGGGAAGACGGGGGGGGCTTCATTCGGCTCCCCCTGGGTCGCAACCGGCTCCAGCGCTGAGTCACCCCGGGATGGCGAAAGGCACTTGGGGACGTTTGTCTTGGTTAGAAAGATTTGCGCCAGAAAATGCGCTTCCTTCCCCTAAGCCCGAAGGCGGCGGGGAGAGGCTTCGGTGAGCCTCTGGGCATATGCAAAGCGCGCTCCTTCCTCCCGCCCCCCCTCCAGACGTCCCAGGGCGGGCCTCCCCCCTTCCGCACCCCCTTCCTCCCCTTCAGGGATTCCTGCGCCCGCTTCCCTCCCGGGACGCGCCTCCAAGGGGACCAGCAGCATGCCGGGCGCGCGTGCGACGTTGGCTTCGGTTTCTGGCCCGGGGCGGCACGTGCCGAGCTCCCTCCGCCCCCAGCATCCAGGGACCGCAACTTGGGGCGCTCGGTGGTGGCGGCGGCGGGGGTGCAGCCGCTTTGAAGGCGAGGAGGCGCCCCCTCCGCCTCCGTTCTGGCTTCTTCTTCTTCTTCGGTTCTCGGAGAGGGCTGCCTGCTGGCCGCTGACCAGGGTCTTTGGGGACCCGTCCTCTGCACCTGCCCAGAGGCACCCTTCCCCTCCAAGCCTTCCAGGCAGAGAAAGGAGATTCCCGGAGTCTCTGGAAGAGCAACAGAGAAGACCAGGCTGGGTGGCATCGCTGTTCCCCCCATAAGCTTTACTCCCCCCACCTCTGGCTGGGTCTCCATTTCCTGGCCCTTTTCAGCATTTAAGGGCCAAGGGCCTCCCTGCTTGGAGACCCGAAGAGGCTGCCGGATGCAGCTGAAAGCAGGAAGCCCACTTGGCACCTGGGGGGCGGGGGGAAGAGCCAGGAAATATTTTTTGCTTTAAAAAAAAAAGCAGGCAGGCTCATCAAAGCCACTCCTTGCATGGGGCAAACCCAGCCTTGGATACGGAGAGAGGAAAGGGTCCCCCCTATTCCCCAATATTTCCACCAGGGCAACATTTTCTGGGGCCAACGCAGGACGGGGGGCAAGCTTTGGAGACACACAGGTCTGTTCCCTGGGCGAAAAGGAACAAAGAGCCGAGGGGAAGCCGGAAGGGGAACTGCCTGGTGTACAGAGGAAGTCGAAGCAAACCAGCGGAATTGGCAAATACATATATAAAAAATAATGTGTGTTTTAAAAAGCCACATTTGACTTAGCCTGGCATCCATTTCGGGCTCTCCCTCGAGGTCAAAAACCAGATCTGAGGCAGCAAAGAAACCTGATTTATTTTTTCTAAAAAATAAAATAAGCTGGTTTCCTGCTGCCAATAATAATAATAATAATAATAATAATAATAATAATAATAATAATAATAATAATAATAATAATAATAATAATAATAATAGTAATAGTAGTAATAGTAATAATAGTAATAGTAATAGTAATAATAGTAATATAATGAGGTCGTGAGGTTTCCTCGTCTTTGTTTGACTGGGTTGGAAATGTCTCCTTGGCTCCAGAGGGTCTCCTGGGGAGCCCCCTCCCCCCATTCTGAGCCTGGAGTTGAGCCCCCCCACCCTCACCCCGGCGCCCCTTCTCCCCCCCCCCCCCCCCCCAGGCAAGATGGAGGCCTTCAGCTCGCGCAACCTGGCGCTGCAAGCGGAGAAGAAGCTGCTGAGCCGCATGGCCAGCAAGTCCACCATCACCATGTTCATCGACGAGACCAGCGGGGCCGTGCTGGACGAGCTCTACCGCATCTCCAAGGAGCACACGCAGGACCGGGCGGCCTCCCAGAAGGTCATCAAGGACCTGGTGAAGGTGGCGGTCAAGGTCTCCGTCCTCTTCCGCAACAGCCGCTTCAGCGAGGCCGAGCTGGCGGTGGCCGAGGACTTCAAGCAGAAGCTGCGCCAGGGAGCCATGACGGCCGTCAGCTTCCACCAGGTGGCCTTCACCTTTGAGCAGGCCGTGCTGGGCCGCCTGCTGGAGGAGTGCCGGGACCTGCTGATCCGGCTGGTGGAGAAGCACCTGACCCCCAAGTCCCACGGGCGCATCCGCCACGTCTTCGACCACTTCGCCAACGCCGAACTGCTGGGCCGGCTCTACAGCCCCGGGAGTCCCTTCGAGCCCCACCTGGAGAGGGTCTGCCAGGGGCTCAACCAGCTCATGGACCAAGGGAAGCTGTGACCGGCCCTCCCCACCCAAGCCATGGGGGGAGGGGAGGGGGGTCTCTGGGTCAGCCAACGGAACTCACGGCCACTGGTTCCACGGCTGGGATTTCGGACCTGGGCCTAAAGACTCAGCAGGCTGTGTTTGCAATGGATCAGTGAGGACTAGAAGCTTGGGATGAAAGCGCTTGGCTTCTTCAACTGGAAGGGTCCCTGAATGTGAAAGGGGTCCACTCGATGGACAATTCCTTCTGGCCGGAGGATGTGGGGGGGCCCGGGGTGTTTCACATCTTGGATTGGGGAGGGGGATTGTGGTCAAATTGCTTTCCTTCCTTTTTGCTTCCCCCGGCAAGCAATGCTTGGAAGGTGCCCGTTACAGCGTCTGCGGTGAATTGAATCTCAGAATTGGACCTGCTTTGTGCCCTCAAGGGGACCCCCC